GAAGCCTGCCTGTAAGGCATAAGCTTCAAAGACACCAAGTAATTCACTTGACACTCTTTATGATCAGTGCTTATCAACCATTTGCTTTTGTCTATGTTGTGCTATATTGTACCTAATTCGGCATCCCAACCAACTTTTGATTTGTTGTAATTTTTTTGCTATTGCTGCTACAGATGTTGATAATAAATTCTGAATGGAAAATTGAGATTCTGGGTACACGTACCATGCTTTAAAAGTAATTAGCTGCATGTTGGTATGGAAGTTGGTGGTATACCACCACTATTCATTGGTAACCAGGTTTCCCAGCTAGCCGGATTTCTATGAACCATACATCTTAGGTAGACATCTAGGCAACAATTGAGCGTCGTATACTATGGAAGACAACATATCAGTACCTTGAAGCTCAATAAGGTAGTCCATCAATTTCTAGTGAAAACTAGATCCCTACCAAACACTATGGTCGTAGGCATCCCATGCAATCTAAGCACTCCATCCATGAACTATTGTACCACACTAGCTGATGAATAAGGTTTGCTCACGACAAAGAAGTGGCAATATTTAGTAAACCTATCAATCACCACCCAGATAACTTTCTTCCCTAAGACTTAGACAAACCTTCAATAAAGTTGTTGAGATGTACTTCCAAGCTCCCCCCGGTACTAGTAAAGGTTGCAACAGCCCTGGCTAAGGAACATTCTCATTTGTACACTGCTGGCAAACTTCTTAACTTGTGTCTTGATACCAGGCCATCAAAAACACTGCTTCATTATTTGGTAAGTAGCCCGACCTTCATAGTGGCCACCAATAACCTTGCGTCACATAATACAAACTTGGACCCCATTAAAAAATGTAGCCTCCCTAATTAGATCCAAAGCGCGTCGATCCTCTACATACGTCCCTTCAATCTCAATAATCCATACATATAAAGTTGCAAAAATTGCAGTGCAAGAACCACTGTCTGGTTGCGAACATTAGGCTTCCTAGATAAGGCATCAAACACTCAATTATACCTGCCTTGTCTATATTTGATTACATAATCCAGTCCCAATAACTTCACTAACCTCTTCTTATGAATATGTGTATGTACCTTTTGTCGTAATAATTGTTTCAAGTTCTCATGGTAAGTAAGAATTTTGTTAGAAACATGGTTTCTAATTTTTTTGGGATTTTGGACTCATTAGTCAGTTTATCATTGTTTTGCGGACCTTGGGTGTTATTTGTGGGTATTTTCAAATTATTGGGGTATTATCGATTATTCGGTCAGTATCGGGTACTTATAGGGAATTTATGGAACAATATATTATGTAATTGTGGGACTAGTAGGGTAAGCAATTATAGAACAATAATTTACTTAACCTAATCTCTCTCTACCCTTTCTGTCGTCGCCTTTCTGCCCTACGGAACTCGATCTTCTCCTTCCTCTCATCAAATCACCTCTCCCCAATCCCTAATTCTCATACTCCAAATCCTTAAATTCCATAACGCCCGTGATTATCTATCGATCACTAGACTAGTGAACCCTTGACATGCACGCCTAGATAAAGATTTCTTACAGTGGAATTAGAGCTGGGCTGGCGCATGGGTTCGGAGATTGAACGAGATGGCCTTTAAGGAAGACAAAGCACAGAAGACGCAGAAGGAGACCGTGATCGAGAAGGATCACACCAAGCATGAGACGTTGCTGGGTTTCATGAACAAGTTCGCAGACAACCAGATGGAGGCTCGCGAACAATTGCAAATGGTTGGAGCGCGCATTGAGGATTCCACCCAATGGATCGGAGTAGAGCTAGCTGAGTTTCGCGTCATGATGGAGAAGATGGTGGAGCCACGACCGCACAAGCCTGTAGAGCCGACGGCCCGATGGTGGAGACGACGACAAGGCGGGACGCGGCTGCGACCAAGTGGCGTCGAGAAGCCTGACTCTCGTGTTGGTGCTCGGCGACGAGGGGGTCGTGGGGCTATAGTGGGAAACCCTAGCCGCGTGGGCCAAGGTAACATCGGGTTGACTAAGGGAGCGGATCTGCCGCTGAAAGGGAAAGGCGATGGGGTACGAGGAGGTCGCATATGGGTACATGTTGGAGCCCTGGTGAGTCGGATGGTGCAGCCTTGAGCCAAGAGGATGGATGGGCCAGCTGGCCCAAATCGCGGATGACAGGAAGAGGAGATGAGTCTGGAAGGCTTCAGCGGGAGCTGCGCCAACCCTTGGCCACCCGAAGCTGAGATGAGGTGAATCGCAAGCCCGAACCATGATGGGTTGGTGGGTCGGGCTCCGGCTGGTCCTACCATACTCGAATGGAACCGGTTAAGACCAATTTGAACTAAACCGGGTTCCGGCGGGCAATAGTAGTGGAGGATGATCTGGAGCTGTAGGAGGCCACTAAGTGGTTCCGAACCCCCATACCCACCTCTCGTGACTCTGGGTATAAGACAGGGTGTGATTGGGCGAACCATGGAGGCGGGGCAAGGATTAGACATCAAATCTGAAGGACATGACGGCTGGATGGAGGGGGACGATGACTAGTCGTTTCCGCAGCCTTCATTGGGCGACTCGTGAGGTGGCAGTAGCGGCGGTCGGGAATTCCCACACTATGGCATGAGTAGGTATGGAGGGTATAACCCCATGCATGAAGGTAATGATGATTTGGCAATGAGGCAGGTCTGGGGCGAGTATCTTTGTACCCATACCCGCCCCATGGCAGGTCAGGTCCATATCGGATAATTTATCATCGGGCACGGGTCGGGACAGGTCGACCTAATGCGTATGTAATTTATGTGAAAAACATTAGACATATTCCTTATTTTCATTAAATGACCAAGAAAGAAACCACAATATGATAAAAATGTAGTTAAATAATGGAGAAATTGAGGTTTCACTTATTTAAAACTTTATTATAGCTAAAATACGAGGTAATAAGAGGAAATGCTAAGTAATTTGACTAAGATTATATGTAATTTAGACAAGAACGTGTAGATAATGGGACGGGTCAGGGCAGGTAGGGTCGACGAGAAGTACCCATTCCTGCCCCACCCCAAAACAGGCGAAACAGGTCGGGCAAAACGGGTCAATTGCCATCCCTATTGAGTTTCCTAAGTTTGATGGTTGTATGTGGCTCAGAGGTGGTTTCGAAACCACTCAATATGGGAAAAGCGCAAGGCCACTCTGGCATCCTTTTATCTAGAAGGGGACACACTACAGTGGTGAGAATGGATAGAGCAGTCTTATGCTACACCAGGGACTATAGTCACGTGGTCCAGGTTTCAGAAGTAGCTCAGGTACCAGTTCGGCAAGGCCAAAGGGTAGGCACCAAAGTAGTTGACTAAGCTAAAGTAGACAGGCACGGTTACAGAGTATCGGTCGGAGTTCCGGAAGTTGGGTAATCAGTGCAAGCAAATGGGAGAAGAGACGTTAGTGGGATTGTGCATGGCAGGGATGCGACCGGAGCTGGCAGTAGCTGTCAAAGTTTTTGAACCTGACTCTTTGCGAGTTGTCAGGCGCAAGCGCATGACGCGAATGGAGGGAGGACGGGGAGGAGGAACGAGTTGAGGCACGAGTTCCAAAGCTGTGCCTGCGCCGACACCGGGAATGGCAACCCCGGTGAGCACATGATTTTCACCTGGAGGTCGAATACCGGCTCACTTGCTGCCGCCAAAGGGATTCGTGAGACTGACGTCGCTGGAGATGGAGCAAAAGCGCAGGGAAGGACGTTGTTTCAACTTCGATGAGCGGTACACGGTGGGCCACCAGTGTGCTAAGGGGCATCTGATGTTGATAGTGGTAAACTAGAAGGATGAAGCAGAAGAGTTGGCGACGGGAGGTACTAAGGAAGAGAAGGACGTCGAGAAGAGCGAAGGTTAATTTTGAGGGCAAGATTGGTCTTATTGGGGATGGATTATTAGAAACCCGGTTTCTAGCTGTTTTGGAGTTTTGGACTCATTTGTCAGGTTTATTATTGTTTTGAGGTGATGTGTTCCTTGTATGTTCTGTTTGTGATGTGTTCCTTTCATTTGGTCACTTACTCATTATAGTTGTTCTTTTTGTCAGTCAGGTTATCTGGGTTTCATGGTCTATGTCCCCTTTGGTAACAGAGTTCTTTCGAATTGCAATATAAGCGATTTCTTTAAAAAAAACTCCAAACAAAATAGCCCGAAGCAATCCGATTAGATTAGTTCATTTTTTTATAATGGCTATGATTAAAATTAATAAAAAAGAGAAAAGAGGAGTACACAAGAACCACAAACACGGATCAGGAGGTCTGATCAAGGAAGAACAGGACAGCGTGCTCGGCAGACCAGACCACCTCTGCAAGCTAAACAAAATATATCTAAACGAAGAAAAACAGAACTAGACAAAGAAAAGAAGACTGTCAAGAGGAAAACAAATAGAAAACATATAAACAAGGCATAAACATCGGCAAACAGCATGATATGAGAAACTCGCACACAACCAAAGCTTAAACCAAGGTCTGCATATCGCCCTCTTGCGCGCGAAAATTGTCGTTGGACATCATCTGAGGGCAGGTCTGATACATTATAGCCAGCCATTCACGCATCTGACTCTCACTCAGGACCCCCATCACTGAAAACCTGCTGAGGAGGGACCTGCAAATTTTGTAAAAAATGACCTGCTGCTGATGGTATTTATCTTGGAAAACTCTTTCATTTCTCTCCTTCCAAATCTCCCAAGTGAAGGCGTGCAGGAGCCCTTCGGCGAACCAACACCTCCAATTCCTCTTGACTCTAATAGTCTATCCTCTTATAGTAGTAGAAAACTCTGAAGAAAAAGGTCCAATCTCCCCCACCATTTGTTGAAGAAGGATCCAAATCCCGTTGACGAATGGGAATTGACCAAAGAGGGGATTGACATTTTCCTCCTCAGCACAACACAAACTACACCTATTAACAATGCACCATCCTCTTCTCTCCAGATTGTCGATAGTCAGAATGCGGTTGTGCAGAATCAACCAGATGAACGCCTTCACTTTCATTGGAACAAAGGGAGGCTACACCACCGCGCCCGAGAAATCATCAACACTGGCATATTTCGCTTTGTTGAGGGCAGTGTACTTGGATTTCACTGTGAAACCACCCCGCACACTTGGTCTCCAAATGAGCTTAGCAGGCCCTATAGAAATTGAACCATAAGGTAGAAGAGATAATTTATTAATAAGATCAGTTCTCTCACGCTCAGCCCCTCCCCTCAAGCAAATAGATAACGACAAATCCCACCCCACACTCTCATTATTAAAGGATATCACGTTGGACACCCAAGCATCTTGGTTCGTGGAGGCGGCTGCAACTCTAGGATAAGGATCTCTGAGAACTGTTCCAGGTAGCCAGCAGTCATTCCAGAAGGAAACCCATGCACCTCCACTAGGAGTAATGTGTGCCAACTTCCAGAAATCCGCTTCAAGCTTCATGATACCCATCCAAACAGAACAACCAATAGGGCCACTGCGTGCACCAGCTCTCCAAGACGAAGTTGGATTGGGGAATTTGATCTCAATAAGGCGACGCCACAACGAGAGTGTGCTCGACCTTGAGTGGATTAATTCAATTACCCTGGTTTGTTTCCTGGTTGGAGGTTCCGCTGGTCTAGCTGTACAAGGTATGGTAACAACAATTAAGTCTCCCATATCTAGAGCTGTCAAAATCGAACCCGATCCGACTAACCCGCCCAACCCACCCGACCCACAACCCGTTCGTAACCTGACTTGACAAAAAGTCAACCACCTGAAGCCCGACCGTAACCCGAAACCAATTTACCCAAAATCCGATCAACCCATAACTCGATGAACTCATTATCTGATCCAACCCATAACCCGGCCCATCTATAACCCGAATGATTCATAACCCAAATAACCCGTAATCGAACCGAACCCAACTCGAATAACCTGAGTAACCCATTTGACCCGAATTCTTGTACAAAAATTAAATGTATACATTATTATATTTTTAAATTAATCAAGAAAGAACTGTTGTTCTCATAATAATTGAAAACTATTTGTAGAATTGATGGTATAAATTGAAGTTTTTTCTTAAATATTTAATTTTTAAAATAATATGTGAAATATCTTTTGGTTTATTTTTTATTTTATGAAATTCAAAGGATAAATTTGTTGAAGATAATAGGAAGAGTTAGACACAAATTCGTATCTTCACCACCCATAACTAAATTTAAAAATCAACCCTTGAAAATCAATGAAATCCCCAAAATCAATGAAATCAATGATCCCTATCAAGATATATAAGTGGATAGTTTACCCTTTTTACTTCATTCTCAACTTTTTACTGATTTTATTTATTTTTATAAATTAATAAATCGACGATTCGAACTAGATGATAATATCATATTTGAGCGAACCGTTGTTCGACTCATGAGTTTTAGGACGAGATGTTACCGTCAATATATAAAAAATTGTGAAGATATATAAGTGGTGATTCGGAATGATGTTCATAAGTCTTCGTGAAAATGAAGAGACACATCTAGTTCATACTATATTTAATTAAGACGATTCATTTCGAGATGTATAAGCATATAGTCTGCATTTTTTATTTCATTCTCAAATTTCCACTGATTCAATTTTTTTATAAATTAATAAAATAAGCGAAGTTACAATCTCTCACCATAAACAAAAAAATAATAACCAACAACAAGGCTTTTATATACACTATTTTATTTATATTTAGTCTTTATACTAATATAATGGATATTTAATTTGTATGTGTAAAATATTATCGTATTATCATTTTCTTAAATTTGTATCCTACAATTTATATTCATATATTGATAGTTTGTAAAACATTATTTTCTGTCAAGAAGTAAATGATCCAATGGGTTGACCTGAATAACCCATAATCCGACCTGACCGAACCCGAATTAACCCGTAATTTGATGCACCCGTAACTCGACCCGATCCGTAACCCAATTAACCAGTGACCTGATTGACTCGTAACCCAATTGACCTGCAACCCAATTAAACCCGATCCAAATGGAAACCAATCCGATTGAACTCGCAACCCAATTAAACCCAACTCGGTTAGATCCAATTCAAACCCGACTCAATCCGCCCAATTGACACCTCTATTCATATCAGATTCCAAAAAGTCCAACAACCCTAATAATTTTCAACGGCCCCAACAGACTGGAGCTACTGCATAGTGACTTCAGAATGCGATGGGTGATCCACAGAGTTTAGGCTTAGCTCCGCCACATTGACTCTTACCCTCGTAATGTATAAAATAATAATATTGTAATGCACTAATGGACGACAGAAGCAGAACCCACACCACAACACGCCGGCCCGTATGTGCCGTGTCTTTGTTTATTCGCAGGAGCCAGGAAGTCAACCCGCCTTCAGAAATGGCAATAAATTACTTCCGACGGCTCTTTCATTCTATAAAACTACACTTTTCTGTTAAATGATTTGTCAATAAATAATGAGTTGAAAACTGGAAATTCACAAAGCTGAGCCCTACTTATACCAAGTTGACATTTGGCACATTGCATCCATTCAGCAGAATAGCTTTCCCCCCCTTAGTTGAGTTTCCTCTGCTTCCTCCTGCAAATTTCCATCGAATACTCCAGATTGAGAGGGCAAAAAAGATCGAATCTTTTGAGTAGTACTGTCGTCGAAGTAGGAAGCAAAAACCCAAGGGAGTAAAATGGTATCGCCCAAGTTCATGAAGAAGAAAATGTGGATGTTTTCGTTTCATTGAAGGACTCCTTTCTCTCCCGCTGACAAACCCAGAAGAACAAAAGCTCTGTTTTGGTGTTTGCTGCAATATGGACGTCATGATCACAAACACAAACAGCAGCTTCACTAACAAAGCCGTCAAGCAACAGAATTTCCCACTCCAAAAGCTTTCTTTCTGGTTCGCCCCCACCACTCGCCCACCTGGTCTTCTCTCCTCCACTTTCGGCTCGTAGATTTTCTATTCAAAGCTCTGTTTTCTCTTTTCCCCCTTCCTTCCAGTTCATTCAAACTCTACCAAAGTTTGCGCCTTTCTTTAGTTTTGTTTAATTTCTATTCTTGGTCTACAATCAAATCAAATGGTTCCTCACTTCTCAAACTCTTCTTCATTTGGGTTCGGCCATTTTGACGCCTTGGATCCTTTTGTCCCTGTTTTCAACGGTTTCGATGAGGTTTCTCGAGGTGGGTCAATGGCGTTTGTTTCGCAGGCGTTGGTGCTGGACAGTGAAAAGGGGGAGCTGGTAAATGCCCCGACGACGAGGGTCGGAAAGAAGGAGGTTACGGAGGCGAAGGCTCTGGCGGCTTTGAAGAGTCACAGTGAAGCAGAGAGGAGAAGAAGAGAGAGGATCAATGCCCATCTCGCCACTCTCCGTAGTCTCGTTCCCTGCACTGACAAGGTAATTTAACTTGCCTGCTAGAGTGTTGGTTTATGTCTTTCTACCCTAGGTGTTCGACGATTTGCCGCTGAGAGAACTTAGTGTAACTTTGTCAACGGGAGGATTGAAAATTTGAAATCATATTGTTTGCATTAATTAGTCCCTATTATCCGGGTGAGAGGAGAACCTTGAACCGAACTCCCCTTTAGGAGCGACATGAAAAGTTAATAGTGCGAGTAGCAGTTAACAAACTGGAAACAAAAGTAGCAGTGATCATTACCTGCTAAAAGAAAAGATGTTATCTGCTGGTCAATATTTGATAGGTCTTTGATGCTATAACCTGTGAATTATAATAGAATATTCTTGTTGGATGCTACTTAAATAACTTGGTAAGTTAGCTTAAGAAGATTAGAGATGAAGGACTGCATGCTCCAAGGTGAAAGTTCTGCTCAGGAACAACATTGGCTTCTTTGTGGAAGAGATGCCATAAGATCTCTTTGGATGTTGCTTTACCCTTTGACTAATTCCATGAATAGTAATTCAACTTTGGGATCATTTAGTAATTCAACAGGTAAATGTCGTTTTCGGATCGTCTGGAAGTGCCCCCATCCAACGTCGGCTCCCTGTTTAGCAGAGGATTCGTCTACATACTGCCCACTGCCTCCCATCAATTGTTTAACACGGCTGGCTGAACATTGACTATGAAAGCATTGGGTTATAATATGGGAAGTCCAGTGAATTATGAGCTTAGTCACGACACACACGAGATTGCTTGCGCAATCATTGTCGTTAGCTCATTGTCCTAAGTGTTGTTGTCTGTCTCCCGCCTAACACTGCCAGCTGATGAAAAATATTATCTTTTTGGCCCGGCCCTTTTGTCAACGTTTGGAGCTCGTTTCCGCAACTGGGTCACTCCATATCATGACAAAAGCTGAATGAGCTCCTTTTATTTCCCCTATTTGACCAGCCTACTTTTGTACGTAGTTGCCTTGGATTTTTAAAGTAAATAAAAGTATGATAATCATTCTACCAAGTTTAACATACCTAATCGTTTTGCAGATGGACAAAGCCACGTTGCTTGCTGAAGTGATAAACCAAGTGAAGATGCTGAAGCAGAACGCCATGGAAGCCAGCAAAGGTCTCCTCATTCCCATGGACGACGATGAAGTGAAAGTCGAACCATCTCCAGCAGGGAACAGGGCTGCCCTAACTTTCAAGGCATCTCTGTCCTGTGAGTGTCGCCCTGAGCTAATGACGGATATAAGACAGGCCATCGATTCACTTCAGTTGAAGCTTGTAGATGTGGAGATATCGACCCTTGGAGGCCGTCTGAAGTATGAGTTCGTACTCAGCAAAGGCGAAAGTGAAGGTGCTGTTATTGAGGATGCCAATATTAATGGTGACAAGGCACGGCAAGACTTTGCAAGTTGTATTCACCAGGCATTGAGTTCGGTCCTGGAGAAAGGCAATACATTGGCAGAATATATGCCGAGAACTACACTTTCGAACAAGAGGAGACGTTTCACTTATTTCGACTCGTCCAGCTCTTCGTCATAAGGAGCTGTAACTTGTCGCTTTTCCGTGTGCCGTGTGGGATCAATAAAATATGTGTGTATGTATATATGCTAAGTTCTATTGGAATTATGGTATCAGACAGAGTAATTAATTTTAAACCATTGAGATATTGGCCTGATATGTACAATCACTTTGTACTGAATCTGAATGGCTTTCACTTCCGTTTCTTATTACAAAAATAAGGAGATGAGCATCATCAACATGTGTGCATGAACCTCAACATGTGTGCATGAACCTCAAATTTGGATAGATTATTCTTCTTCGACGTTTTCTTCCTCTAGCGTTTTCCTATGGGCGCCATTAGTGTAATTGTGCTTGGATAATAGGTTGTTGAAAATCCCTGGAATATCATTTGGAAAGCAGTGGCACTGTGGCAGGAGCAGTGGCTTACATAGTCCTGCAAATATTAGGAGGTTGAAATGATTCTCGGTTTTTCGACTTAATCGAAAATCATACATTATAAATCGATCCGGCTAAAATTGAAATTGTTTCTACAGAGAAAACGGATTGATTTCGAATGTAGAGAAGGCTATAAGATCACCTACAGTGCTATAAGATCACCTACGGTGTATGGGCTCAATGTTATTTGGGTTCGGGTTCTGGGCCTGGTCTGTAACCGTTACCTTTGCCATATTGGATTAGGTTTAGACCCACATGGAGAAGTACTATAAATACTTCTCATACTCCTCTGTAATCTCCTCGATATAGTGAAACCGGCTCTCTCTCGCCTGTGGACGTAGCTAACACACATCGTGTTAGTGAACCACGTAAATCGAGTGTCGTGTTTTCGATTCTCGCTTTCGTATTCTTGCTTTGTCGATTCCTGCGATTTCCTGATTCGTAGCATCTCGTTTATAACAATATATATATACCTGAAGTTTGGCTACTGTTACCAATCAAATAACATATTGCCTAACAAATTATATATTAGTCACTTTAATGTACATTTTACATTTTGATACCCCAAATTTAATTTTAATATAAAAGGATTGAACAATTATGTTTTGGTATCTAAATTTTATGAGATTTTCGTACTTACAATTTTTAAATTTATATATTGGTCCAATATTTAGATTTCACTTGAATCGATGAATCCAATCCACCAGTCCTTTTGAAACAATCTATGAATCCAATCCACCATAACATAAAAGTATAAATTTAGTTTGTATCATCCAAGATGTTGTATTACTCAACTGTAGGAGAAGATTCGACCATTTTATATTTTCTCATTACGTGAAACATTAAATAAATGATAAAAGCGAGACGACTCTAAAATATTGCAAGAGCAAATTTATAAATTCATTTAGTACATTTGCGGGGTACTAAACAAACGTCTACTAACTACATATAACAGAATATGCGACATCTACATAAGCAAGTGTCAATAAATTGCTACAGTGAAAATGATTGATTGTTGTATTGACGACCAACTAAAAGAATTGGTCAAGATCTTTCCATCATCTACCTCCTCTTCATTTCATTTTTCACTTGCCATCGATAACCCTTTCTTTATTTCTTTATTTGCCATCTTCGTCTAACTCTAACTCTAATTAGTATACTATTTTTATGTATTCTAATCATAAGTATGAACGGGTCCATACACGACCGACCAAGAGTCTAGAGAATTAATAATTGAACCAGGAACCACTAATTTTTTCAGCTCAATGTCGAGTCTAATTAAAAATAAATATATATGGTTATTACTTATTAGAAAGTCGTCATTTTCCACAGTGGGATTTGAAGGCGTGAATGTAATGAATATAAATGAATAAACCTATACTATTCCATATCAAAGTTAAAAAAATTGTGCATTTGGTCAATTTGCTAAGCCCAATTATACACAAAATACAATTTTCAAAATACTTTTTATCATCCGCAACAAAGGGCGGTGGATGGCTAGTTACTATATATAAAGCTAGAACCATTTTACTGTTACCTAACCACTATTTAAATATGCACTACTGCTATCTTAATGTTCAAACAATTATAGCCCGCACAAATAAGTGGAAATATCTAAGTTAAATGTCCCATTAAGTAGCAACTATTGAAAGAAGAATCCCCCACGATTTACACAAAAATTAAAGAGACAAATGAATTTTTAACTAAAACTGAACAAATCAGTAAAATTATGAATCATTTACGATACTGAATTAATTTTTTGATTTGGTCGGTTAGTCATAACTGGTTGGTTGTTATTTATTGTTGAACCACCAAAGTTTCTCTAATTTAAGTGGTTCATTGATTTCGCGCAAAAAATAAAGTTAATCATTAAAAGTAATATGGGAGGAAGAATGTGAAAAGCTAATTAATTGACATTAAAAATTTTCATACTTTCTTTTTCTTTCGTTTTTCAGTGCTCCTTCGTCTCCCTTTCTTTATTCTCACATTTGGCTTCTTTGTCCAACCTTAGTTATTATATTACACATGTATTCTAACTTACAAGTATGAATGTTTTGATAAACGATTTACCAACGGGTCTATAAAGATTTATAATTCAAACATGAACCACTAATTTTTTCAGCTCAATATTGTCCATTCCAATTAAAAAAACAAAGATTTATCTATTTATTAGTAGAGTGTCGTTTTCCTTTCTATTTCTCCTTATGGGATTTGAAGGCGTGAAATTTTTTAAGTTGAGTTCTACTTTTTGTCCCATTTGATTATGCAATTAGAGCTTTTTCTTCTCACTCGAGTTAGAATTTCTACAATTATACATGAAATTTCCGGTTATATATACATATCAAATAAGGAGTGAACAATTATCATTCTCACCAAAAAATAAAAAATTATCACTGTAAATACACTATTGTAAAGATAATCAAATCTCAATGAGAAACCAAAACAACCCAAAGATTGACCAGTTCACGGCAAAACGCGATTCCATCCTAGTTGTGTTGAAAAGTTACTTCTTGCCATGAATGCGCCAAAGATCGTATCAGGACCCAAATAATTTATTGTTTTATTCCAACCTATTGAACAAACTCATTTAAATTCAATTAAATGCTCCAAATCAATCTATATGATATTTGAAAACAAAATTTAGTCGTAAACAATTTTAATAATCGATCTAAATGAAAACCCTAGAAGAAACAACCTAACAAAAACTATCGTGCTCACTTATACCTTGCTAGCAATGGCGGAGCTACCTTAGTGACAGGGGAGGCTATAACCCTCTCAACTCTCAAAATCATGTAAATTTTGTAATAAAATGAAAACGAAAACAAAAACAAAACTGACCCACAGTTCAACCAATTAGTCTAAAAATCATACATCGCCCCATATAATTCCAGAAACAGATCTCCCACCTCCTATTCGATCCAGTCGTAACACGTTTCAGTGTTCTTATTGGCCAAACATGGCCCTCTCTTTCTGATGAAATATCGGCAGATATCGCATCCCTTTTTCCGGTAGATGTACATGTCAAAATAACGAGCACCTTCTCCCCAATCCATGGTGCAGTATAACGGAAATGTCCAGAAGCTTGGATAGAACGTCCACGCATAGCTCTGGCGCGGCTTCAACTCATGCAGGCCAAGGTCGTCCACTCTGGACTTGCAGTGTATCGTTAGTTCTCGCTCTCCTTCCACTTCATTGGTCACCACTACGCCCTTTTTGGGGATTACATGTTTTCCCTCGATGGTCACTACTATATTGGGCAAGAGCAGTAGCAAGACTAAAACGCCATGTTGTTGCTCCCTCATCGTGCTCTTCCTTATAGTTTATTTGTTTTTGATGGTTTGAGATTTTGGTCTTTACAATTTGGGATCGATAGATGCATCAAGGTGGGAGTTGTTACATTGTTACTTTACATATTGCTAGTTATGTAGTTGATAAGAAGAAGAACCTATAGTTTTGTTTTAACAAAAAGTTGTTAATGGTGCATGATAATCGCAAATTGTTTTGGTGATGGTTTAACGATTCAAGATCTTGAATGGAACTTATCACTAGATGTTACTTATTTCTATTTTGGTTTTATGTTGGTTACTGTCGCCATTTGAAAAATGAAGTTTTCAAGGTAACGATCCTCTATCGATACAAGTTTGTGTCTTGCCTTTGAACTTTGGCGATTTTTATGATATTTTCCTTTGTATAATATTTATTTTGGTATCTTAGTTTATACAAGTAGTTATTCGGGAGTGGATGGGGAGCTAACATAATCATTAACAGTGTTATAGTAACTATAACTCATAGCAGCTCCTTCCTCCACCCCCTTCCTTCCATTGCTCTTGCCTCCCGCCCTCCACCTCACTTCCATTTCTCTCCTTGTGTAAAAAAAATATTTGACCATTATAATCTATTGTCTTGTCATCCTTTATAATGTTTCTGGTTTGCTTCGTGAGGTTTCTTATGTGCTTTCTCGTGTTTCTGGTATGCTTAATGAGAGTTGTGGTCTTGTTGCACATATTCTGAGTCTCCTTCAGGGAACTCGTTATCAACTTTATAAGATTTCATGTATGCTTTGGGGAACTTGTTGTAGGCTTTATGAGGTTTCTAATTTGCTTCAGTGAAATTATGGCAGACTTTATGAGGTATATGGTCTATTTCAGTGAACTTGTGATCAACTTTAAGTTTTTTGGTCTGCTTTATAATTTGGTGTGATTACATTCTGGTCGACTTTATAAGCTTTCGGGTTTATGTTATTTATGGTGTGGTTTGTTGTCTTACTCATCCGTGTTTTCTAATTTACTTCATGATACTTGTGATCAGGATGGAACACGGAATAAATGAGTTGCGTCACACGCGCGTTCCCCGCCCTTACCCCTATAACTTTTAAAACGAAAAGTGTACCCCTTCCTTTAGAAATCATGACTAAGTGTGGTCAACCCCTTAAAATGAAAAAGGTCATAAAAACAAAATGACCCTACTGGTTGAAGATTTTCTCAGCATCATACTAGCAAATTGGGTGTTAGCACCCTAAGCTTCATTTGTCAATATTATGTTGGATTTCTCCTTACTTACTTTTTTGTTTTCCATAGATAGATTATAAATAGGTGGTAGAGTAAAATATATTGAAACATAAAAGCGACATTCAATGCTAATCGACCTATTGATAAAGAGCCTTTTTTGCACGTAGTGGGCAGCTCAGTTAATCACCTAAGAATGAGGTTGGATGTGACATTCAATACTAATCGACATTCAATACTATAACCCTATAAAAGGGTACAAGCTTCACTCTATCAAGGCCAATGGGCTGCTTAATATGGCAATGGACCGCTAAGGTGGTCGCCCTCATCCATCATCTGTAAACGAAAGCACAAAACTCACACCAAAAAGATGATAGCATCAACCGTGCAAAAGCTGTTGTCTCGAGCTCCTGCAAAACAAACATAGCAAAATTCCCAACTAGGCCCATCAAATTGGATTAATTGTATGGTTGGTCACTGAGATTACAAAAAACGTTCAAGGTTGGTCACTCTCTGTCCAACTCCGTTAACTTTGACTGATGTGGCAGTCAACTCTCAAAGTTGACCGTTAACTTAGTGACGTGACAATTAAGAAATAATAAATAAAATTAAATTTAATCTATTTTAAAGACCAACTCATTTTTACCATAAAATAAATAAAATAAAATATAGCGTATTTTAATTATTTCAAAATTTAACCTACATAATCAATCAATTAATATTAAGCCTCTCTCTCTCCTTCGAATCAAAATTTAGGTTTCTCCCTCTCTCCTTAAAGCTTTCGACGTCTCAATTCCGGCCGCTCTCTCCGTCGTCCTTTGTCCACCGCCGCCTGTAGCGAAGCTCCGAACTCCTCCGTGGTTGGATTGGTCGAGGCAAAACAGATGAACCAGCGGCGGATCCAGGATATAAAAGTGCACTGGGCCGGATTCGAACATAAAATTAGATACCGTGAACAAAAAAAAAAATTATAGTTTGCATTACAATGTCAATTGTACACGACGGTCTTTTAATTTAGCAAATTCGTCAATAATTGAGTCTTCATCCATAACAATAACATACTCTCTCTCAAAGAAAATAGTTAAGCAATCAGCAAGAAATTCATCGCCCATCTTGTTGCGCAAATCAGTCTTCACATGTTTCATTGTTGAAAAGGATCTCTCTGTAGTAGCCATTGAAACAGGAAATGTCAACACTAGACGAATCAACCGACAAATCAATCTGTACCGTGCGTCCATCCCTGTTTCCACCAGCTTCTCTAGTAATTTTGGAAGGGAAGAAACATCATATTCCTGACTATGAACCACATGATCGGCATAATATCCTAGCTCATTCTTCAAACAATTCATCTCATTGCCTTCAAAGTCTCGAGGATAAAACTCTTCAGCAAGTCTGTAAATATTTTCTTCATCAAAAGACCGGAAAGAACTTTTAGGGTCTAGTGCACCACTCAACTGAAGCAATCTGACTGAGGACTCATTGAATCTTGAATTCAATGTTCCCAACTGAAAATCTATGTGTTGATTAAAGTATTCAAAATGGTAGCGGTGCTCAAGAGTTGTTTTCTTCTCACCACGTCCAAGTGTAGCATTCATATTAGGCACCTCTATGGCATGTTTTGAGCAAAAATATTTTACCTCTTGGAGTAGCCAATTAGAGCGCTCCAAACACATAGCCAGCGAATTAGGATGCTCTGAGATAACTTCCTGATGAAGTGGACGACTCCCCTAAAACAGTGTCGTGGCCGCCTAATTTCTTTACTAAAACTGAAATCTAGGCGCCATTTTGCTTTGACGTCCGGTTTTCGAATCCTGGCACCAGCAACTTGGGCTCAATGTCCCCTACGCCTTTCAAGTGGCCCACTAGACTACTTTGCACTGAAAATGCACAAAAAGCAGTGAAAACATATCAATAGTATAAAAGCAATCTTAGCGTTGCTAGAACACACTTGATGCAATCATAGCAATAATTCAATGTATTATGACACTATTGATGGGAAATGTATGCACGTTGGGTCACAATACAGGGGTCTAAATAGATACTTTCACTTTTCATCGGGTGTACATACGTGTATAGCAGCTACCTCGTTGCCGATCGCTATTGTCAGTGGTCGAATATGGGGAAAACTAGGGATTTCGACACTCGGATGGCAACTAGGGAACGCTCGGAGGGTGATCCATGAGATGGAAGAGAACGTGACAAGTTGCTGCTAATACATTGAATTATTGCTATGATTGCATCAAGTGTGTTCTAGCAACACTAAGATTGCTTTTATACTATTGATATGTTTTCACTGCTTTTTGTGCATTTTCAGTGCAAAGTAGTCTAGTGGGCCACTTGAAAGGCGTAGGGGACATTGAGCCCAAGTTGCTGGTGCCAGGATTCGAAAACCGGACGTCAAAGCAAAATGGCGCCTAGATTTCAGTTTTAGTAAAGAAATTAGGCGGCCACGACACTGTTTTAGGGGAGTCGTCCACTTCATCAGGAAGTTATCTCAGAGCATCCTAATTCGCTGGCTATGTGTTTGGAGCGCTCTAATTGGCTAAATAATGTAAAAGGGGTGAGTTTCTTCCTTGGAAATCTTAATCGAAGTTCTACAAATAGGGATCTAGAGGTAGAGTTCGAGAGGAGAAGACGAGAGGTAAAGGAAGGATCGTTACTCTATCGCCGGAGCAACCCTCCTGACTTAGAGCGCCGCCACCTACGAGGGAGAATCGGCGCCCCAAGGCACGTTTTATCTATTCTAGCCGCAAATTTTGTGGGCCACATTGTGTCTTCATTTCCATCGATGAACATACAGGAACCCCTCCCCATGGCTGGGTGAGTTCATTAGTTGTGTAGGTATGTCAACACTAAGGGTTCTAACCATGTAAACTCGATAATTTGGTGAATACGATTGTTTGATTTTCATATGTGTGATGCTTGATTTCCTCTATTTGGTTATTTGTTGATTCAAATGATTGAGTAGTCGACCTTGCCCCCTTAAGGTGAAAGGCTCAAAATCCTCATCTTTTTGGATGGGTCTAAAAATAGCAATCCTACTCGATCGAACCTCATTCGATCAAATGGAATGACACCTCAAGGGAGAATCGGAAGGGTCCTTGTCGCCCATTAGTTTGGGTAAATGCTTCAACACAAGCTGGGATCTAATGAAATAAGAATTTGATACCTAGTATGATCCGATCATCGAGGGCACGTTGTTAGGAGACCTAGGGGGAACATTGCCTATGCAAAGCTTTCTTTCTATGCTCTCTCACTTCTCTAGTAGATTAGAATTTACTTTTCTGCATTGCTTTTGCCTTTCAAAATCCTACATTATGCAAAATTGGAGGAACCTCAACCTCCTAAATTAACCTCATCTTCAACAGAACATACCTCACTTCTAAAATAAGGATTCTGCAAGAGACACGAGGGAATACAATCCTAGCCTTAGGGCCAGATAAAATTTGGTAGCAACACTACAAGCAACATCAAATTTTGGTGCCATTGTTGGGGACATCTCGCAAACTTTGGAAAAGGAAACGAGGCATGCGCTCTGCTTTCTGCTTTCCAATGTTCGAACCTTCAACAAAAATTGGTGCCAGAAGCACTGACATTCCTTCCATTTTCGACGCTCGTGGTACTGATTCTGAGAGAAGGTCGCTCACAATCAATCCTCCCTCCTCATCCTGTCTCGTAGCGATCTACTTTCTACAATAATCCACACCTAATGGAATTGAGGTTTTAGGTACGTATAAGCCTAGAACAATAGATAGTTGGGCAACGTTAAAATTCAACGTGCTCGAGGCATGACTATT